TTAGTAAAAATTTTCATAATTGAAATTATAAAAAAAATATACCATTAAGTTTATATATAATTTTAAAATATTACACCTTACCCTTAAATTTTTACAAATAATAAATGTGCAAATTGTGTTTAGTTTATAAAATATAATAATTCAAAAAAATATATAATAATAACCATGAGTATAAGTATATTTGTAAATATTTGATGTCAAAACTTGTAGTTTCAAAAAAAAGCAATCAAATAATTGTTTTTTTGAATAAAATTGTATAAATTACAAAAATATTAATTTATACTTCTTTACAAAAACATGTATATAGTATGGCATTCAAATTTTTTTTTTAAATCAATTCCAATAAATGCCAAAGTTTTGAACCAATGTTACATAAATTCTTTTTAAACCTTCAAACATTAATGTAATTTATGTTCTTATGGCCATAGTTGATAATCAAAAAGATGCTTTTTTTAGGCCTTTAAATAAAAGCAGACATTAGTGCGTTCTTCCAGATCATAGCCAATGATCAAAATGATGCTTTATTTAGACCTTCAAATGACGGCAGGCATTAGTGCAATTTATGTTCTTTCAGATCACAGCCGATAATCAAAAAGATGATCTTTGTAGGTCGATAATCATTAGTGTAATTTACATTCTTTCGATAATACATTTTTTAGACCTTCAAATGTCATAGGCAATAGTTTGTCTGATTGGCTAATAAATTCAATTTAATTTCACATTCTTTATACGGTTTAGAGTACTTTTTTAAAAAACGAAAACTATTCATAATGAAACAAAAAAAAACTATATAGAAGATTTCATTAAAGCTGTAAGACTCCATAACCAATAGTAAGATCTAATTCTCGTCTGTTTAAAAAAGTTAACTTCTCAAACCCCGATAAAATCAACTAATCACTAAGCTAATTTTTTTAAACGGACACAATTAGATCTAATTTTTGACTATGGAGTCCTACAGCTCTAATGAAACCTTCTATATTATGGTTGGTTTTAGGGGGTTTTTTAAAAAGTATTCTAAACTGTATAAATAATGTATAATTAAATTGAATTTATTAGCCAATCAGACGAACTTCCGCCTATGACTTCTGATGATTCAGTATAATTTACGTCCTTCCGAATCACAGTCAATAATAATAATAAAAAAGAAACAGTTTATATAAATTTAATGAATCATTTAGATACAGTTACAGTTAATGGCAATGTAATTCTGTATTTAAATATAATCAGTTTCTTAAATTTTTACATTATTACAAAATTTATAGTAAAGGTAATAATTGTAATTATTCGCAATTTTAGTTGATCGTAATTACATAAAATTGTGTTGCCTAAGAATATGTTTATTTATTCTAGTCTAGCAGTAATTTCGCCTCTTAGAAAACAACCAAGAAAGTTTTTCTTCTAAAACAAAAATAACGATAATATTCCAAACAAATAAAAATTTTTTTTAGAATGCCATGTGACTGCGTCCTCGATTGGTGAACTCTTATGAAAATCTTGATTTTTGTTAACGCGGTCTTGTAAAAATCTTGATTTTTGTTAAACGTTAAACGATCTCGTAAAATGTTTAATTTTGTGAAAACAGTCGTAAAAATAATGATTTCAGTTACTTCTAAATTCTTTTTGTACTATCTCATATAGTTTATTATTATTATTATTATTAAATAAATTTCTGTAGAATTTTTGTGAGATCACATAATAATTAAATTCTTTACAACTATACCATTTCACATATAATATGTATTATGAGTATAGTATACTAATTTTATATACCCAAATGCGTTTTTGCAGTATACCCTACTACTTTACTAAACCATACACCATTACTATTCGTAATACCACTATGAAATCGCATTTAAATGGATGTCATAATATTGATATAAATATATTGAAATAATATGTATGTGCATTCGTTTCAAATACACATAAGGCCAGGTACTGTCAAAGCATAAGCACGTGTCTTTATTAAATAGATACTGAATATAAAATTAATTAAGCACGGAGTCGGTTAGCTTTCGGGTTAAAAAGCATCTCAATCTTGCTCCGTATCGATTTTTGTATAATGTATATAAGGAGGCCGTGAATGTAATGAAGATAATTAAAGCGAAATCATTAAGAATAAGCTATTATTTGCCCTTGTCATGAATAATTTTCTTTAAATTTTTTAGCTTCTAATAACTCAGACTTTTTTTTTAATTCAGCCATTGCACGAAATATTATATCAGTAATAATGATTCGTGTCGTAATTTCATCTGTCTTTCCTGCATGATAATTTGTGAGAATATCTTTAAAATCAATTGGATCACCATAAGCGATGATAACATTTTTACCAAATAATGGCATCCATGTGTGATCCCTTTCTTTAGGCATTATTGTTTCAAGCCCTACATTGATCAACATTATATAAATTCATTTTTATAAAATAAAATATATAAGTAAATGAAAAAATAAAAACCTCTGTGCCATATCGGTACAACAATCGGAGGGTTTATTGATTCCATCATTAATCGTCCAATACCCCATTTAAAGCGAATCAAATCCGTTGTTCGATTGACCCTTGCTTCAGGAAAAATATGAACCTGAATAATATTAAGGCAATTTAGAATAGCTACAGATATAAGGAACAACTCAAAATACTTACCCATTTTCCTTCATTTAATCTATCTAGAGCAAAGTTCATAGCAGGCTGATAAATTCCGGCGCCGCGGACGGTCGGTACAACTTGGCCTAGAGAGAAGAATCTTGAAAGTGTGCTATGAATAAATTAAAATTAAAATTAATGTTAGTACAATGCAAGTAATATTAAATACATCCAGTTAACCGTACTCACGGAGTAGTAAAACATATTTCTTGAGCACCAAGCGTCCAACGGACTCTATGCAGGCTGAGAAAACACTTAAAAGGAATGCTTCCCCAGAGTAGCGGATCATCAAGTCTAAAGTATTTGGTAAAGGAATTAAAACAAATGAAAACAATAAAATATTCATAACAACTTACGTTGATAAATGATTTGCAACTATAAAGGATTAGATACAATTAACCATATTAATTCATTCAAATTTAAGAAAGCAATGAAAAATTTCTTACCTGTCAGAATCGGCCTTGTCCTATTTGGATCCATCAAGATTTTTACGAAAGGCTCCTGGTTATATACAATATATGAACTGGTGCAGAATTTTAAGAAAAATTTACACACCAGAGCACTAGAAGTGATAGTACACCAACTGACAAAGTTCCATAATGGATTCGTTGCTGGTTTGAGAATCATCTTCCCATGATCAACACAGTAAGGTAGAGGAACGTCTACTGACTTAAAAGTTGGGTATTGTTCCTTTGTTTTAAAATTCTCAAACCTTTCGTCTTCCGCTCTCGGAGGCATTATATTAAATACTGTTACGTAAATGTTTAGAAATTAAAATTAAAATATTTGGGTGATCTTTTCTGTATTTATAATGTACGTACGTATGGAGTGCATAATTGCAAATATGCAACCCGCTGATCCTACTTATAAGATCGTGATTGGTCAATTAAAAATTTTATTGGCATAACCATCCAAATCAGTTATATGAATTTTCAGGTGATTTTATTATGAAAATTTTCATTATATTAAATTATATGTAACTGATTTGGGTGGTTACGTTGATGTTACACGACTAATCCTTCACTCGGTGTGCAGCATATAAAAAAATATTTTACAATATCAGGTCATTTCAGTACATATTATAATTATAATCCAACATTATTTTATTATAATAAAAATTGTGTTGGATTATAATTATAACATGTACTAGTGGAATGATCTGATATTGTAAAATATTTTTTTGTATGCTGCACACAAATAGCAATAATAAAGCATTTAATTGTATATAATATATCTATTTTTTAAACTGTATTCCAGATAAATTTGCTTAAAAAATTAAATTGTATTTAATAATTTTAAATAAAATAATAATTTATTAATAATATGAGGTATATTTTGCTTATAAAATATATTTTTAAGAACATATTTTATAAACTTTATTTCAAAATATTAATAAATTTTTATATATTAAAATTTTAAAGATTCTATTTAAAAATTTTTGTTATTAAAAAATTTTTCAAAATTTTTCAAGATTTTATATGTTTCTAAAACTAAAAAAAAATTACATTTTGTATAAGCCTAAATTTTTATAATTAAATTGCAAAAAAATATTACTAATAAAAATTATTATCTTATATAAACTAAAATATTGTATTAAGAACTATAGATTGAAAATTAATATTAAAGAATTTGTCAAAAATTTGTAATAATTTTTTTAATTAAAATTTTTTTCTAAATTTGTCTATTTTTAGTTTATAAGCAATATATATTTTATTTTTATAATATAAAATTAAATACTGCTATAATATAATTCTTATTTTCAAATATTATTAAATAAAATTTTAAATATTTTAAAATTTAAAAAAATTAGATTATAAGTATATCTTAATAATTTTTTAGACAAATTTGTTTAGAAAAGGTTACAGATTAAAGGATAATATATATAAATATAACTTATAAATAAATTATTCTATTCTACTTTTTTTAGATATATACTATTATAAAAAGATAAAACTATTAGTAAAGTAAATAGGTTGCCAACCTTCAAGTAGTAGGTCTAAAGTTCAAATTCCAATAATAGCAAAAATTTGCAATTCTTTCTGTATTATAGTTTAACTGTTTTCTGTAATTAGTTGAAATTAGATATCTGTAATCTGTATTATACTAGCATGACTAGAAACTCTAGATACTTGTATAATATTATATGAAAAAACACAAACTGGTACTGAATAATATAAACTCAAGATAAGCCCTTAGGTTGTATAAATTACAGAAATTAGGTAGAAAGACAAAAGCCTACTTGAAAGACCTGAGTAAAAAGGTAACCTGAACTTTTGATAGTGTTATTGTAAAAACTAGACTTATAAAACAGAACTAGAACTTGTAAAACCAGACAAATGTGTTAGTTTTTAAGGAGGAACTGGATGAACCAATCAGACTGTCAGAATTTCTGAATTTCAAAAAAAAAAAGTACATACTAGCAAACATATAAACCAGAAATGTATAGTTATGACCTATCTTTTTAGACAATCTGAAATGACAGCATGGTGGAACTTGAATTGAATACCAAAGTAATAAAGATATGTTGTAAAGTTAGTACTAAAATTGGAATAAACTTTATAAAAGCAATAGTAGTTTAATAATATGCACTAACTGTTAGTGTTGGTCTCAATCATAGTAATACTGGTTTAGCTATAAAAATATGATATAAAAGATTTTGAAAGGTTTAATACAAAGTTAAAGGTTCTAAAGAACTGCTTTAAAGACTTAGTAGTTATAATATATTTTCACTGATATTGGTCAAAATCATTGGTAGACAAAGGTAGATGAATAAATATAGAACCTAGAGTAGTTAAATAGGAAACTTATAAGCAAGTTCTAAGTATGACAGCTAGTGTAAAACTTTAGGCAGACTACTTAAATTAAACAATGACTAAAGTTGTATAAATGGCTAGTTGTATACTCTTTCTATAGTTGCTCCTTGTAGTTATAATGCACCCATTAGCCAAATATACTATTAATAAAATTCTAAGTCACAAGTACTTACCTTAATATTTAAAAAAAAAAATAAGAGGATGGTGATCCTAGTGTAGTGGTTGGGTTGTCATCCTCCAAGTAGCAGGTCTAAGGTTCAAATCCCACCTAT